CCATCTAATGAACACCAATATGAAATAAATTTCATTTATATATATTATTAATACCTAAGTATTTTAGCTAGAGCAAAACACATATATTTTAGGTTGATTTTAACTGTAGCTAGACTTTATCTTTCTATATGCATCTGCTCATGTGAAAATATACCTGCTGACATACCGTGCCACTCTGCCAGAGCTAGCCATTTTTGCTGTTCCAGATGTAGGTACATTATCATATAGCATGTTTTTCTCTTACCTTTCAACTAGATGAAATATAGTAATGAAGATAAAAAGTATTGAAAATGCAATGATTGGGTCACTTGGATTTCTTGGTTGTGTTATGCATTATATCCATCTTAAAAACAAAGACCCTCAGCATGGTTAGTGGTGTCTTACAAAGAATTCCCGAGGAATTAGGGGTTATTAGCCAGGGGCTGAACAACTCTGCATTATCTCTACAAGTTCTGAAGCTGGGCTATGTCTACTCTTCTCACTGGATTTCTGTTGCTGCTCTGATGTCTGTACTAAGTACTGTCATTACAGATTGTGACTTGCTAAGCTGTGCAAATTTCAATGCTCCTGGGAGCAGAATAATAAAGGTTATGCACCGTTAAACATGTCACTGATTCAACTTCCATTTCCCTCACTACAATTTTATAGTGGATGCCCATTCAGTCTCACAGGGACAAATAAAATGGGGTGTTTTCAAGCCATATCCATCTAAAGAATGAGGTGTCATGGTCTCTTGGCAAGTGACTACTTTGATGGCAGAGCAGTTTGATTTGCAACAGTTATAAAACAGCTATTTCTGACCCTAGAGCGTAGCAGAGTTAATTACGGCAGTAAGCAGTTTGCAGAAACTAATTTATATTGTGATGCCTTAGTTGGCACAAGAAAGAAGGGATTTGTCAAAATATACTAAGATGGCTCCCTCAAACCCTACTTTATTTTGTAACTCAACAGTAAAAATCTTATTTTGTAATGACAGAGACAAAATATAATCAAGGAAAGGTGCATCTTCCTTGTCCTTAAGGACATATTTTCTGTTTCAAAACATTAGCTGACAGGCCAAATATGTTGTGCAGAATCTTTCAGAAAAAGAAAAGTTTTGCAGTTTTTCTGTTTTCACGAGAAATACAAGTTACAGAATGACAGTCTTTTGGCTAGGCTAGAGAAAACTTTCAAGCCTAGCTTTGTAGTAAATAAAACACCTAGTCTTTCTCCTGCTGCTTACTTCATCTCTTCTCATCAGTAGGTAGAGGTGATAGTTTTTTTCGTCATTCTCTGGCTGGCAACCCCCTTGAGTTGTTAAATAAGAAGGAAATGTCATTGACAAGAATGCACAATCCATGTGTCTATATTTTAAAATGGATTATTAGAGAAAATTGAATCTTGAAGGGCAGAGCAGAACTATAAATACTAAGTTCTAGCAAAAATTTCAGCAATTCACTTTTTTCAAAGCTGGTTCTACTTCACAGTTCCCATAGGAGCTGTTATCCACAAGCTGAGAAAAGTAACCTGAGCTGTACTAAGACATTATCAGACTGAATCCTTGTGGTATTTAATAGGACTTCGTCTGGAGGTTTCCACTCTGCATCTTCATCTAAGTTCCTTTGTGTCTTGATGGATTGTTACCTATTGTCTATGTCTTCATTTGGTACCCATCTGACAGAAAAGCAAAGAAAAAATATTCAGGACAGCGAACTAAACATTTGTTTCTGTCAGGTCACGTCTACAAGACTAGGTAACTGAAAATGTGAGATGGGAAAAAATTAGTCAGTTACTGTTTACTTTGCTACTATTTCAATTCTTTTTTTGTTCTCTTTATGCTAACTCTCCCTCTTCCCTCTCTTCTGTGCCACAAGTCTAGAGACACTGTTCTTGACCTCACCTACTCCTCACAGTACTATGCTCTGTATGGTATTGTTTCTAAGAAGCAGAGTGATGCTTTCTGCATATACATTATCAAAAGATCTCAAGAAACCATGCAATTTTTGCCAGTGAATAAAGCATCATAACCTCAGTTTATGAACCGACCTTCTCTATTGGTCTTGTTTGATGTCTGCCCAGTGGAGTAAGTAATAGGAGAGAAAAACATTCTCATTTTCTTACTTAATAGCTATTTTGTTTCAGAACAGTGAAATATCAATAAAAAGTAAAGATATTTTATCACTATCATTTACTAGAGCATGGCAATTTATGCTTTGTTAATCTGTAAGACTCAGTTTTGACAGAGTTCATCAGCTATATTTTATTAACAAGATGGACAATATAACATATTTCATACAAGAGAACAGAGGATCCAAATTCCAAATTCTTGACCACGGTTAGCAGAACAAAAATGTCATTACTAATAGACAAAAATTAGGGCACAGACTTTACCTCCATTTGAGAACACACAATCTAAGCAATCTATATACATCTTCTTTTCATATCAACTCCAAATGACAAATTAGATCTGTGAAAATGAGGCAAAAGGTCATCCCTCTTGCAGCTGAGCTGTCAAAGTCACTAACTAATTTGATAACTATGGGCTCTGATGACTTCCCGAGGCTGTCTTCAGCCCATTAGATATTCTTATGCATATTTAAAAATTTAATTTAACTTCTCTTATACTTTATTTTTAGTCTTGTCTCTTCCTACAAACAGGAGGATGTAAATAGAATGAGAAAAAATATATTAGAACTAAAGTCTCATAAATTTATATCAGAAAAGATTTCTCATGCCAGATTTTTAAGTCAGAGTAGCTGAGGAAGATTTGCATGCAAGGATCTGCGATTTTAGAACACGTGATTTGACTGCTTGTCCTGGCTTTGGCTGGGATAGGGTTGATTTTCTTTTTAGTAGCTGGTACAGGGCTGTATTTTGGACTGAATATGAGAATAATGTTGACAACCCACTGACAGTTTAGTTGTTGTGAGCAGTGCTTATTTAAAGTCAAGGACTTTTCAGTTTTCCAGACTCTGATAACAAGCAGGTGCACAGGAAGCTGGGAGGGAGCATGGCCAGGACAACTGACCCAAACTGACCAAAGCGCTATTCCATACCATAAAATTTCATGCCCAGTATATAAACAGGGGGAGTTGCTCAGAAGGTGCTGATTACTGCTTAGGAATAATCAGCAGGTGGTGAGCAACTGTATTGTATACCACCTTTTTCTCTGAGGTGTTATTCCATTCTCTCCTTTTAATTAAAATTATTATTATTATTATTAATATTGTAATTTTAATATTTTATTTGATTCAGTTATTAAACTGTTCTTATCTCAATGCACAAGACTTCCTTTTTTTCAGTTTTTCTCTACACTGAGGAAGAGTGAGGAGGGAAGAGAGCAAGAGGCTCTGTGGTATTTGCTGGCCAGGATGAAACAATGACACTGTCCTAAAGCGAGAAGAGGAATTTTTTATTAAGACTGGAGCAGTTTCACAGACCTAAAGAAGTAAAAGACATATACTGGTTAGATTCGGAATAAATGTTGGAACACATAGTTAATACAATTTTGTTCTGACACGTGCTGCAATATCTGTGCCTTCAGAGCTCTGAGATTCATAAGGATGTGCTTGGTATTCACATTATTGTAACTTATCTCACAGGAGTAAAAATTATACTGCTTGATTCCTGGAAAGGGATTTCCAGTAAAACAGTGATCTTTAAAAGCAGAATAATCTGACATATGCAATCAGTGTAGTGTAAGCACAACTTCTTAGAGACTGACTAAAGAAACAGACAAAACCACTCCCATAAAACAACCACAAGGATTAAATCATGACCAGGTAAGCAAATCAAGCCATAATTATGTTATTTTCCCTTAGTAGGTTCTCTAAGACTCTCTGGGGCAGAGAGTCTTAGAGAACTCAATGGATGTCCTTCTTCCCCCTCTGATGGTAAAAATTGTTTCCAAGCCATAGGCAGGGAAAACTGAGCATCTTGTTTGCCTTGGTAAGCTATCATACCTGTTCAACTTCTTTCTGGCAGAAGACACTTGAGCAGAGAGGGCATATAGTCTGTATGGGTTTTAACTCATGGAAGGCAAAAAAAGTTATGGTGGGCTGACTATAACTATATTACCAAGCTACTCTAAAGCTGTGTAATTTGTGTGTACAAAACGCAACTTTCTTCTTTCCTGTGGGGCAATTAATTTGGATTTATTTGTACAAGGTGCATTTGCTTCTTAGCAGCTTCTTCTCTCTTCTCTGTGCACGTGCTGTGATGTCAAAGCTTGGCCAATTAATAATGTCTCTAGGAGAGGGAGAGTGGACTTTTCCAACACAGTGAAATTGAGTCTACTCTGTAAAAAATTGGCAAGTACAGCCTTCCTAAGAGAGAGCCATCTGACACCTAAAGGCTTATAGTAACAAACAAAGCAGGCTGTTGCAAATTTCTAAGGGATATGGCATTATTAACTGAGACTGAAGAAGCCAATGTCCTATGCACTTCTATTCATGACATAGCTGTCAAGACTTTTCTTAGTAATGTTCTTATATTTTCAGTGAAACTCTCCATGGAAGAACTGTATCTACCACAGAGATTCTACTTGCTGTGAAAAAAAAAAAAAGGAGGCAAGGTAGAATTCAGGAAGTATGTTCTATTCCTAAAAAGTTTTCCTTTAAAATCCAAAAGCACTGAAAGCTAGTTTCGGCAAGAGATGTAATCAAAATATATTATTATCAAGCAAAGTCTGAACTCTATCAAGCACTAACAAACTCCTCTGAGGAATCAATAACTCCCAGTGAAAACAAAGTATTGGCAGTATATGTCTGTATCGGTGTAGATTATTGGCCCAGTATTTCATACCCACTGGATGAGAGAAAGGTTGCCTATGTCTCTATGCAGCTGTACTGACAAGAGGAACATGACCTCACTATATTAAATCACACAGTTTGGTCCAGGTAAAAACTTCCATTTCCTGTTGTCTTGGTTTTGTCTTCTGTAGATGATGGCCACTGGAACTGAGGAAGCCTGAATAGGTGAATATGTTATACCTCATAAAATAAACTGGAGTAAGGGTAGGAATGAGAGTCTCATACTTCAGTCGCTTTCTGCAGTACAGTTGACTTGCAGAGAGTGTAGGAAACTGAGGGAATGGCAACTTCCCCCATGTCTATTTTCCAAGATAAAATGGTGTTGAAAAGTAATTTGTGACCTTTGTGGTTCATAGCCTCTCTTGTGGTCCATGAAATTTCTTGGGTAATGCTAAGTAATGCTGTCTCTACAGGTCAGTACTACATAATTCTTAGAACAACCTATGCCATTCAGTTCAGCTGCATTTTACTATTCTCTAGGTACTCCAGGGAAATGTATTAGGATGACAGTCTACTAATGCTCCATTGACCAACAACACCTGGAAGAGAGGAGGGACTTGATTTCAGTCATGGCGCTTGAAATGATCCTTTTCTTATGCCAAATGAAAATAAAGACAGTAACATAATTTATTGGGGAAAAAAATAATAAACAGTATATTACAAAATTTTATCAGGGTATGAACATCAGAAAAGGATAAAAAGTCACGTTTAACCTTCTTCAAAGTTGAAGTATACAATGGACCTTCTTCCTTATCCAGTTGACAAGTTATAGCTGAAATATCTTGCAGAGCAGAGCCTCAGGAAGTGTTAGCTGTAGAGTCTCAGCAGCTCCTGAACTTCCACTCCTTTTTGATATCTGCTGCTTCAGTCTTTCAGAACTAGAAGTGATGATGACTATGGTATGACTGACTTGCAATCTGCTTATGATGCAACATAAGACATATGGCTTCATCAGAGACTTGTAAGGAACGTTCTTCCTTTGCATGCTTCCCAGCAAGTGCTATAATCTGACCTACTAGAAAAGCCCATCGTACTTGCAGCTTGCTTATCATGTGAACACGTTTTCTGATGCTTCACTGTTAAGTGAAGTCCCTTTCTGACAAATGGCCATTCTGTACAAAGAAAGCAGCAATCTCTGATAACAGGAGGCAAACTATTAATGCCTATTTTGTTATTCTTTGTCACATCATTAATCACAATAAAAATTCCTTAGACATCATTCATGTTCAGTATTCATTCATATTTACTCCTATGGGAGAAAGCTTGGTGATACTTTTAATAATGCAATGTGTATTTTTTAAGGTCCTGCCTCCCCAAAATACATCTCAGACATGAGATGATAGTACAGAAGTTAAGGAAAGAGGAAGAGATGATAGTACAGAAAACCTTAGGGCAAGTGCTAATCTAATTTTAAAAAGTAACCACTCGTTCTTGCTTGTCCATCATAAAAAACCTCAAGTGAACTGCTCAACATGCAGAGATGCTAAAAGTTTTTCTCTGGTAATGTTATCCTCATATCTCAGTTTGTTCACCAATGGAACAGACACAATAAGTTGACGGGTGTACTGCAGTCAGTAGGATTGGTGAGCTCTATCTGAATGATAGTGGGTTTGTTGTTCCACAACACTGTTCCATCCTGTTTAAAAGAAATGACAAGGCCAAACCCACCTGAAAGAAATGACAAGCCCATCAGTCTAAACAAGTCATCTAGGGCATGTTCTATGTCTTTACATAATTTTTTGTATCTGCATGCGTTTGTACTTAGCAGTTAGGTGCTCTGCTGCTTAAAGAAGATGAAAGTACATGGCTCTTTTTATATACAGGGCTCCCTGCAGTTCCACATTAGTCAATGAAAAGTATATAACTGAATGATAAAGTAGCAGCAGTCATTGCTCAAATTATTTATAAGTCATTCATTCATCTTTATGTATAGGGCTGTCAGGTTTTTTCCTCTTACACAGAAGAAAAGAAAAACCAAGACTTGGTGCTTGCTCTTCCAAAGAACTGTGCAAACATTAACTAAAACCAGGTGGAAAATGCTGATAGAAGGAAAAGGCCACACAGAAATTAAGATTTAATGCAGCTTTAAATATAGCTTGTTCCTAAGAAAGTATAAGAAGATTAAGAAGAAATTTTCACCCAGACCCTCAATATGTTATCATTTACTCTCCTACAGAGTGAGTGTAAATATATATGAGAAATACTATTGTTCTTATCTGGTGGCATTATGGTTTTCCTTTCCATTGGTGTAAAGTAGCATGGAATTAGACAATACTGAATCCAGGTTATTAAACATTCTGAAATATATGGCGAGTGGAAATATTATTTTTAAGAGAGATAAAACTGAATATCCTTCTAGTACTTAATACCCCAAATCAAGAATGAATCCATAACAGGAAAGGTATTTTGTACCTTGTTTCTCTGTTGTTTCCAAACTCAAGCTGTAGCAGAAGAGCTTGTAAGCAACTTTTTTTTTAAAAGAAGTCCAAGATTCATGAAAGAATCATGGACAATTAAGTGCCACAAGTCAAGCCTCCTTCTCCAAAGGCAAGTCAGAGAAGCAGAAGTACGCAGGCTGCCACAGTGGCAGAGAGCCCTCTGTTATGTTTTGGCTTTTTCACTTTTTTTGTGAGAGCACTTCTGGAACCACCTTGGTCCTGATGGAGTCATTGTCATAATCCCATGTGTTTAATTTTTCTATTATTCTTTTTCTTTGGAAAAAAATAATGGAATCAGTCTCTGAAGCTTCTGGAGCATCACCCCATCAATAAAACTGTTTCAATAACATGCCATAACTAATCTTCAGATTTTTGAATTTTGAAAATCTGGATTTAACTTCAAGTTCAGCTGGCTGCTCTGGCCATCATCTGTTAAAAAAAATGTCTGGAGACAGAATCTTGGCTGTCAGAGCGACTTTCTTTGTTGCGTGCTTAGCAGTACTGTGAAAAATTTGCAGCTTCACACAACTCAGTCCTTCAGAGTCCCAGGGTAACCCAGGGAAGCTGTTGAGTTTGTTAATATTGTAGCATTGACAAAGACAGATAAACCTCTTTCATTCACTTCTATTTTTGGCAACTAGCTTAGAACACAATCTTCCAACCCTATGAATCATGCCTTCAAACATACTTCAAATATACATCCACCTGTCTAAAAGAGGAAAGGGAATCTGTGGCAACAGGCTGGCCAGCTTGATGAAGCAGGCTTTAAACTAAGGACTCAGGGTGTGGGGTCCAAATTAGCAATGCTCACAGCATCAAATCCAGCTGGGGAACAAGCCAGGCCAAACAGAGAAGTGACAAATGTTCCTTATCTGCTTCCCAAAATGAGATCCAGAAGGCAAACCACCTCAAGAGTCTGTATGGCTGTGGTGGAGCCTCTTGCACCCTTGCTGGGAAACCTGCACACTTGATTACCTCTCTGAAATGCACACAGCATGGGAAACAAATAGGAAGAATTAGAGATCTCTGTGAGGTCACAACGCCATGATCTCATTGCAGTTACAGAGACATGATGGGATAGCTTGCATGACTGGAATGCTGTCATGGATGGCTATGAACTTTTTAGGAAAGACAAGCCAGCAATGGGATGTGGTGGAGTTGCCCCTTACATGAGAGAGTAACTGGGATGTATTATGCTCTGTTGAGGGGTGGATGAAGAACAAGTTGAAAATTTCTGAGTAAGAATTTGGGGACAGACTAACACGGTGACATTACTGTGGGTGTTTGCTATGTGCCACCCCATCAGGAAGACGAAGTTCTAGAGACAGCTGGAAGGCGCCTCACAGTCACAGGCTCTGGTGTTCATGGTGAACTTCAGGCATACTGATCTCTGCTGGAAAGACAACACAGCCAGGCACACACAGTCCAGGAGGTTCCTGCAGAACATTGATGATAAATAATTCAGATGCAGGACTTGAAGGTATTCTAAGTTTTCCAATGAAAATAAATTGGGATGAGATATTGACTCCCTCAAAGGCAGACAGACCCTGCAGAGAGACCTTGACAAATTAGAGAGCTGGGCAATCAAGAACCGTATGAACTTTATCAAACACAAGTGCCGGATTGTGCACCTGGGATGGTGCAAACCTGGATGTATGTACAGACTGGGGAACAAGAGGTTGGAGAGCAGTGCTGTGGAAAGCGACCTGGGGACAAATTGAATATGAGTCAGCATATTCAAAAGTAACCACTCATTCTTACTTGTCCATCATGAAAAACCTCAAGTGAACTGCTCAACATGCAGAGATGCTAAAAGTTTTTCTCTAGCAATGTCTTCCTCATATCTCAGTTTGCTCACCTATGGAACAGACACAATAAATTGCCAGTGTGCCCTGCCAGCCAAAAGGCTCAACTGTGTCCTGGGGGACATCAGGCACAGCATCACTGGTTGGTTGAGGGAGGTGATTGTCCCACTCTGCTCTGCAGTGGTGAGGCCTCACATTGAATAGTGTGTGCAGTTTTGGGCACCACAATATAAGAAGGACATAAAGCTACTAGAGAGTGTCTAAAGGAAGACAATCAAGATCGTGAAGGGCCTTGAGGGAAAACCATATGAGGAGAGGCTGAGGTCACTTGGCTTGTTCAGCCTGGAGGAGACTGAGGGGAGATCCCATAGCAGTCTATGGCCTCCTAACAGGAGGAAGCAGAGGGGCAGGCACTGATCTCTGGTGACCAGTGACAGGACCCAAAGGAATGGCATGAAGTTGTGTCAGGGGAAGTTTAGGCTGGATATATGGGAAAGGTTCTTAAAGCAGAGGGTGGCTGGGAACAGAATCCCCAGGGAAGTGGTCACAGCACGGAGCCTGACAGAGTTCAAGAATTGTATGGACAATATTCTCTGGCACATGGTGTAACTCTTGGAGCTGTTGTGTGCAGGACCAGGATCTGGATTTTAATGATTCCTTGTGGGTCCCTTCTAACTCAACATTTTCTATGATTCTACAGTGAGTATTTTTTAAAGCTTAAAGACTTCAATTTTTTTTTTTATTTTTAAGAGTCAAATAAAACAATGCAGAGGATGGCACAAAAGTGAGAGGCTACAGATACCTGTTCTCTGTTCAAAAGAAAACTGTCACTGTCTAATGCAACTGTTTAAATAGCCTGTCCTAAATCTAACAGTAGAGCAGAAGAGTCAGCAGACTTATCGTTGCTCAAGGGCTCAGTGAGGCAAATGTCTGGAGCACATTTTTTATTAAACAAGGAAAGGTAGAACCATTCTACCATGTTCTGACTGTTCAGATGCTTGCTACGAGTGTTACAAGGCCCATTGCAAATTACGATTTCCACATTCATATCATCTCTTATTATCTCTGCTCAGTCACTGTGAGGCAGCCTAATCTATTCCTCACCATACAGACCATTTTATTCTAACCACTAAATAGCATTTCCCATTTGGATTCTGATATTCAGCAACAGGGTCATTTGTTCAAAGACAGTTTCTACATACCTTAGTAAAAAATGACATTTTACACACAGAGATTTTAAACAGTTTCCCAACACAGAAGTTTAACCCCTTGGTTGTATGTGTATATGCTTTTGTATACATATAAGTGTTATTTAAGGCAATGGGATAAATGACAATAACAATTTATTGGAGAGAATATATGATAAGTTGTCATAATAATGACTTTAAGATTCTTTTTACTGATGAATAAATAATAAAAATCTATTTACGAGCCCTAAGTTGCAAAGCACTTATACAGCTGCTTAACATCAAGCAACATGTATTCAGTGGGACTGATCTAGAATTAACCTACTTTCACATTAGTATTAGATAGTGGCGAGTTGGTGATGGTTACCAAGTTTTTCCTTCATATGAGGCTATAAGAATAATGTGAGGACACCTGGAAAATTGTCTGCAGAAAAAAAAGTCCAACCACCTCAAAGGAGGTGAATGAGGAGAGAGACCGTCTCATTTCTTATTACCATACCTATCATACACCGGGGCTTATTGAGAACTTTTGTACTTACAGATGTTAGTTAACTTGCCCTTGTGCATCATCTCTCATTGACATCCAACTCTGCACCTCATTTTCAAACATATCTGCAGCCCATTTGGATGCTCCTAAATCAACATATAATATGTTGCATGGATATACAATTGTAAACTTATGAAGAAACTCGTAAGGAGATCATATATAAGTGATGGTTTCCTTAGGTCAGAACAGATATTTGTTATAAATATAAGGAATGGCCATTTTTCCATAATAACGATGATTTCATGTAAAATGTAGGCCTCCACAAGATAACATTTTCAGCAAAATTTGCAAACTGATCACATCTCTATCAAGAAAAGCAAACCATAATGGTTTTTGGGGGGGTGATTTACCTTTAGACTGTTTATTAACCTAAATACTCACAGAGTCCCTGGGGAATCTCTCTGTTTCTGATCACATTTCCACACCTCCCTGAAGAAGGACTTCCAGTTAGATTAACAACAACTCGGCTTAATGTTACGGAATATGGATATATTTAATATTATTGATTCAAAATATAAAAATAACTATGTTTTACAAGAAATCCAGGTATTTCATCTTGATTTTGGATGAAAAAAAAAAATGAAAATATCAAAATTTGCCATGGGAGAGAGAGAGAATTTTAAATTTCATTTCTTAACTATCCCTAGTTGACTTAAACATGAACTGAAGGGAATACTTGGAAACATGATTTAGAATTAAGTTCTGTGCTGGCCGCAAAATAAGCACCTTCTCTAACACTGGGCAAGATCAGCCTATAAGTCATAAGTTATATAAGTTATGTGATGTTACAGGAGGTCAACTAGGTCTACTTACCTGGCCCTCTACTTATCCTTGAATGCCATTTTTCTTGAGATGGCCTTCTGGCAAAAGACTTTAGGCTAGATAAATTATTCTGATGGTGACAGTCTGTTCCTGGCTGCCTTTTCTATTATTCTGAGCTGCATTGTTCATGTGCTACACACTTCCAAGTGCTCTGATAAGTGTCTGGGAAAAAATGGTGGCTGAGAACAGGCCTCTTATCACTGTCAGAACCATGAATTCATGAACAACTCCTCTGCCTGACTTCCAAATTGCCTGTGGGCCAGAGAATAGCTGGAAGTGCAAACTATCTGTGTTGGAGGAAGACACCGGTTATTCTTTTTCCTAGGACAGTTATATGGCTATTTGTGTTACAGCCTTAGGTACAGAATGTTTTTAAGCCTAATCTGAAAGGAGGTTGTAACGACGTGAGGGTCAGCTCTTCTTCAAGCAAAGAGAAGCTCCTTTTTGCTTTTATGACTAAAATTTCTCTGAAGACTTTAGTAGTAGATCACCTGCCCAAGGGTGCATTGCCTTGTTTTGATTTCTTTTTGTTCAGTACAGAGTGAAAGAACTGATGTACTCTCTGAAGAAACAAGATTTTCTGAGCAAATGTTCTACTTGGGTAGGGAAGCCAATTTGCAAAAAAACAATGATTCAACTAAAACTCCTCCAGTTTGAAATTACTCTTAAAATATTTATCATCAAAGAATGAGAAGTATGCTTTGTTTTAAACTATATTTCAATCTTTCAACAGCTTTCCAGCTTTACATGATACTGTGTTAATAATATTTCCCAGGTGGGAAAATACTCCCCTTCCTCTGAAAGAACTTCTCTCCTGACCTTTTATGCCTCATTTGTAAAGTCAAGCACAAAAGACAAGGGGAGTTGATAAAATAATAAAAATAAACAATGACAACACTCAAATGGATATTTATAGGCCATCAGGGGTATCAGCTGTTGGAGATGAAGGGAGCAAGTACATGCCATTGCACAGATCAGACTCAGACATGGTCAGTCTTATTTTCTGAGGTTTTAGCATGCAACCCAGAGACACTTGGCCTTGACCTTTATTCTGGTAAAACATGGGATGGAATTATATAACAAAAAAGCAAGTTACTGTTTCTAAAACAGGGAAAGGGAAGCCTGATAGGATACAGACGAAATTGTGCATCAGTTTAGAGGTGAACTGCTGAATTTTTTATGTGAAGTAAAAAAGATCTACCTTCTTTTTGTCACAAAATTATCTTCCTATAAGAGAGATGGAATTATTTCTGAAAGCCACAAGGAATGATAGCCACTTTTTGGAGTGCTGTGGTGATAAGTCATTGGAACACATGTTCTCATGAGCTGATTTGGGATTTTTCAGAACAGTGAAAAGTCACAAGATGCAGCATTGTGACAGGCATCTGATTTTTATTTGGCATGTGCTGAAACATGAATCACAGTGTTCATATTGTTTTTTTCAGAGTAGAACATGAGAGTTTCAGACACTGATTCATGCTCTTACCTGAAAGCATTGCAACGACAATTTCATGTCAGCTTAAGTCCCAAGAGGGCTGGAGATTTGGCAAAAGCACAGAAGCCCCAGTCAAAATGCTGCAGAAAGAAACAGCAAAGAAATAACAAACAATTGG